CAGGAGAATTGCTGAGAGTTTGAGGCCAGCCTGAGACCCCGTCTCAAATATAAATGAATTGTATATCAACAAATTAGGTACCTTAGAAGAAATGGACAAATTTCCAAAAACACATAAATTATACTGATTCCTGAGGAAATACAAAGTCTCCATAGGCATAGCCAAAGTAAGGCATTGAAAGCCAGCCAGATAGCTCAGCAGACTAAAGCAGCTGCTTAGTCCCCGGTACTACCAAAAAAAAGCACCTGCTCAGCAGGCAGTTGCAGGGACAGGGGTTCGATCCCCCACACCACATGCTGTGTCACCCCCACCCCATCACCGGAGACCTGAGACAGTGACTGAGACGGCACGGTGGCGTGCGCCTGTAATCCCTGCGCTTGGGAGGCTGAAAACAGGAGGATTACTAGGAGTCCGATCTGTGTAGTGAGACCCTCTAGGTAGGCCTTGTACCAAAAAAAAAAAAAACCAGTAAAGACATTGAGCCACCAATCAAACAATCTCCACATAAACTGTAATCCCAGCACTGGGGAGGCTGAGGCAGAAAGATTGTTGCACGTTCCAGACCAGCCTGGTTTACAAAGTGAACTCAAGGCCAGCCTGAACTGCATGGTGTGACCCTGTCACAAAAAGACCAACAACAACAACACAAACCTCCAATAAAGAAAAGCACAGGATGAGATGGCTTCACGGGTGTATTACATACCATTTAAAGAAAGAAAGAAAGAAATCCTGGGCTGAGGAGATAGTTCAGAAGTCTAAGCACCTGCCTGGCAGGCACAAGGACCTGGGTTCAATCCCGGTATTACATGCCATGCCAGCCCTGGGCACCAGGTTGACCCAAAACCGGGCATGGTAGCACACGCCTGTAATCCCAATGCTAGGGAGGCTGAGACAGGAGGATCACTAGAACTCTGAGCTGCATAGTGAGACCTTGTGCCCAATAAATTAAATTTCTTTCAAAAAATCCTTCACGGGGCTGGAGAGATGGCTCAGTGGTCTAAAGCACCTACTTAGAACAAGTTTAGCTAAAGCACAGGGACCGCGGTTCAATCCCCCAGCACCACATGCCAGCCAGCCGCGCCCCCTGGTGGGCTGAGCTGGCCA